AGCGCAGTAATTACAGTTGTGCTGTAGAATAAAGCAAAGGTGTGAGTGTGTCACCTGCCCCTCAAACACAGCTGCTGCATGTGGGCAGTGACCAGCAGATGTGTGTGTTGGTCAGCAGGAGGCTCCGAGGGCACAAAACTGAGGGACAAAGAGGAGTATTTCACCCAGCAAACCAAGGAAGAGCCATTTCATCCTCTTTCCAGAACCTCCTTGTTTCTCTGCACCATAAAAAGCTGCAAGAAATATTGATCCCAGCTTGTACTGGCAACACAACAAGAGCATAATTTCATTTCCTGCTGTATTACAGAGTTTAAAACCGACTGCTTAATTTCTAAGAAAGTCAAATTAATGGTACTGAAATGGGCCTGGTGAGATGAACATTTCCTGATGCTTTAAAAGAGCTTAGTTCTGAGCCCAGATTTCAGAGCCACCATTACCTCTATAGGGGAACACCCACCACCCCAAAATCTGCCAAATGCAGGGACTGGGCAGCTGTTGTATTTCAAACTAACTTTATAGATTCATAAAATTCCTCCTTAGCAAAACCACCAGGTAATAACTGTGCAGGTCATCAAGCACAGGAACAGTTTCTGACACTGCTAAGGGTCACAAATCACAGTGGGGAAGAGAATTTCTGCTGGTGTTGTGAATTAAACTGGGTGGCAATTACTGCCATGGGGCTGAGGGAGCTCAGCTGGTGCAGAAAAGTGGAGGAATCCGTGTGCTTTGCAGATAAAGAAAAGTTTGAAACTGCCACCTGGGGGAAATCCAAAGTTATCTTGAAAACAATGTAATAGGGGGCTGAAAACCCTTTATGTTTCTCTGTGCCTTAATTTTTAAGCTCTCTAGCCTCCAAAAACAGAGAAAATTCCTTATCTAATATCCTTATACTTATAGTCAAAGTTTTATTTATTTTTTAGCTGCACATGCCATTTCTGTTTAGTGTACAGCTTTTGCTTTGCTATGCAAAATATTTCTTTCCTTCATTCTCATCCTTAACTACTCATGTTACTACACTCAATTTAATTTCATCATGTAAAACTGCACCCTGAGGTTGGTGCCCAATGCCCTGATTCCTGCAACCCAAACACTGGCAACTAAGTTCCACTACACTACTCTGACAGACACACTTTAAACTTTTTTTGTTATATTTTGAAGACTGCAGCCTTTTGCAGGAACAGCTGTCTGAGATGAGCTAGCTCAAAATAACAGACATAGCTACCAACAGGAGGATACAAAATACAATATACACAAGGATTTTGTAACTTTTATATTCGCTGCTGAAGTCATTACTGCAACATCACATGTGGACACTGCATTACACACCCCAGGCTGCAACACCTTCACACATGGGAGTTAGAGGGAATTTTTCTCAGGCTCACTTTGCTGTAAGTAACCCCTGAGGTATTAAGCATCTTTGTACTTTTATCCTAGAGCACCTGGGAGCTGTGAGGGTTCAGATCTCTCTTTAATGTGCCGGTGGGTGTGGAGCTGTTGTGCACCATTTATCACCCTAGCTCACCTGCAGCTCTGCCCACCAGCTCACAGCCCGTGGTTTCCATCCTGCACACCCCTGGCTGCTGTTTTTCCACTGCTATTGCTGCAGCTCCAGTGACTAATTCTTGCCTGACTCCCCAGAATATCCCGGGTGTGGCCACAAGGAACAGGCTTTTAGAAAATACACATTAATTCTCTGCAACCTGTACCTGCACCTGAGGGCACCCCCAGGGCCAAAATGCACCTGCACCCTCAGGAATGCCAACTATCCCACTTATTTTGAAAAAAAAATTAGCATCTGGCAGGAGGATTGTAGGACTTGATGAGAAACAGCCCATCAAACAAAGTGTCCTCATCACCCACTCAGTTACTTTCTGCCACTTACAAATGATGCAGCCACCTGGCTACCCTCACATCATTTCCTTGTCCTTCCCCTTGTGATTGTGACAAATTCCTCTTCCCATCCCCTGGGTATTTCTGTCATGTCTGGAAGGTATTGAGGGAGCTGGCAATGCATAACATGCCATTGCATCCTGTGCTGCTGGTATAAAACATTCTGATCTTCCCATATTGAAACAGCATGGAAGGTATGGAAATTTGGGAGATTGCATTTGGATTTTGTTTGCTTTCTTGGTGAAAGATGATGTCTGCCATAACCAAGCTATGGTTTGGCAAAGGAGAAAAATGGGCTGTCTGAAGATAATCGATATTGAAACTGCTTCAGGTTACTCCTGGAAACGTGTGTTTATTGAAGTCTGAAACAGCTGAGGAAAAAACCAACAAAATTATGGCACAAAAGTTCTTCCTTCTCTGAGTCAAGAACCACTTGAAGCAGAGGTTTTACTCTTTGCTTGCCTTGCTCTGCCTTCCACAGCCACTGGTGCTTTCATGCTGTGTGCCTGCAGTGCCTGATTAAGCACCAAGCCCTAATCCCCAGACTGGGGAGACAAAATGAAGAGCCAAGGAGGAGCAGCCCAGATTCTCCTTTCTCAAACCTCACAGCAGAAACTCATGTGTGAGTATAGGAGAAAAGCTGACCCGAAGAACAACTGCTACAAATGCATTAAGTGTATTTGTCCCTGCAGGAGAGGAGCAGAGAATGCCTGTTTGCATTGCAGCAATTCCTGGGGCTCATTAACAAACGGGATTAATGAAGATGTCCTCAGCACTCCACTGCAGGGGAGTCAGCAGGCAGAGATGCACTTTCATCTCATCCCCCACGTGTGTTTTATTGCTCTGCAGTGATGCTTGTGGCACAGAATTTCCTCCTGATGCAGAAGAACACCTCCACCCCACCCCAAGGACTCCTGTCCCCTCCTTTCCCCCTGGAATGCTGTCATTCCATGTGTATCCAATGTAATATAAATACCAGGAGGAAGAAATGCCCAGTCTAGCACCCAGCCTGCTGTGATTCAGCAGGGAGTGAACCTGATTACAGCAGGTTAATTAATGCCCCACATTTGTAAAGCTCAACGTTTATTAACGACTCCTTTTCTTCGGGGGAGAGATTAATTGATGTTTGCCCTGAGAAGACACATGGAGGAAATTTGTCCCAGAGAGAAAGCATGCAGAAATGCAGCTTGCAGAGCCAAGCTGCATGCCCTGCACGGCAGAGAGGGGAAGTGATGCCCCTTGCCTTCCCGGGAAATGTCACTGCTCTGGGTATCGACTGCAGCCAGACAGTTCGAGTGACAGCAAAGTCTCCTGTAGCATTTCCAGTGTCATCTTCCCGAGCAGGAGCTCGTGCTGCTCGCTGAACTCCGTGCTGTGCCTCGGTTATCTGCAGAGTTCATCCTCCAGCCCCAGCTCTGCCAAGGGCAGAGCTTCTGATGGGGCCAGTCCCCGCTGCCAGCTGCTCCAGACACAAAACCATGAACACAGCAGCCCTCTCTGGACCCTTCTCTTCAGCTAATTGTTATGATGGGTCCCTCTAATTCATGTGGGATCGTGTGTAATGTGTCATTGCATCGCTGGAATTATTCAGGGAAAGAATGATGAGTGGTTTGTGGCCCAGTGAATAGCAAATGCTGCTATTCTTGTGCAGTCTTAGGCTTGGGCTTTGTCTTAGTGACAAGCCTGTTCGATGACAATAAAGGAAAGGGAATTGGAAAAAACGGCCAAGGAGAGAATCTTTGTTTTCTGTCCCTCATTGCAGTCTCCCTGGAATGTGAGGAGTAGCAGGGAACAAAGAGAAAGCACTTGAAGCATTGAAACAGACTGATAAATGCCTTTGTGATAAACTGCTTTTCTGCTCATCTGGAAGGTCAGTGGTCCAGTTTTTCTCATACTTTTTACCATGATAAAGATCAGATGTCCAAAAGAATCAGCAAATTGAGGGGTCTGTGCTCAGTTTGACCAAGTGAATTTAGGAGCCACTTGAATCAGCAGATAATCAACAACAATTGCAGAACCTGTTCAAGAAAACAACTCAATACTCCTCTCTGTGCTTTAGCCAGGAAAGGAGCTCACCCACACATTTCCCCAGAGACATGTCCAGGAATTTGGAAATGGAAATACTAGCAGAACTGCTTCTGGTTCTGTTCTTGCTCTGGTTTATCTTAAAGAATAAAACAAGAGTCACCCAAAGCAGAGGAGGAAGCACCTACTCTATCTGTACCGAGTGACCAGCCAGGGACACAAACAGCTCCCCCCACTCCTGTTTTGTTCCCAGATGATGCAGCAGCTCATCACCTCACTGTCTCCAAACCTATATGTTAGTGGTCAGAATGGAGAGTAAGTGCCCACTGGTTTATCTGAAGTCCTGTGCACACAAGATTTTGCTTCCTTCCATACTGTTCCTGACCTAAAGAGCCTTAAAATGCAAAGCCACGCTGCTTTAGCTTTCAGTCTGTTGACAAATTTAATCATCAAGGTACAGATTGGCTTTTGGGTACACAGAATGAGATTACAGTGGAGAAAACAGTTTTGAACATTCAAATGAAAGTTCAGTTTGATAAGGGCTCTACGGCCCTGAGCTGCCTCAGCTCAGATCCATCCTGCACTGGGATTACCCAGGAATCTCAGATGGTTATACAGCCAGGAGACTCTGGTATTACAGATGGACATGATCTAATTTCAAGTGGGAAGACTGTGGAAAAAGAAATTGCAGGACCGGGCTCCTGATAAACACAGTTTCACATGGGCAAACAGAAATAGGATAAAAAAATACACCACAACACCCACCCCCCAAGTTATAACCAAACATCAGGAAGCAGTGGGAAGGTTTTTCACTTTATACACCCAAAGTGGTCAGCAAGGTTACTCCACAAGAGGAGACAGGGGCAGATCACAGCCCATGAGCCTTTTCCAGCTAGGAAGCTTTACAAACAGAGCAAAACCTCCTCCACAGGCACGATGCAGGCTGGTGAGCACAAATCCCAACTACCTGCAGGCAGAAACTGGGGGCAGCAGTCTCAGCATGCCAGAAGGGACCCACCTGCTGCAAGTCAGACAGATGAGGCACACGGGGAGAAAGAGCAGCAGAAAGAGAAGGGGTAACTCACAGCAATGAGCTGGTAGGAGTTGTTCATCATGGCTATGAGCATGTTCAGCAGCACGACCAGGGAGATGACGTTGTAGGTCCCAAACATCGTGGCCCCAACAAATTCTGTGAACTCGTGTCTGGCTTTCACGTTGGTGACGTAGAGATTCAGCAGCCCAAACACAGACCAGAAGAGTGACTGGAGGGTCTCGAAAAGTCTGCAAAAAAAGAAAGATTTTTAGCTGGCTACCTGATGCTGGGGGTGGAAAATGATATTCAGGAAGGGAACACACAGATATTGGGAGACATCACAGAGCAGCCACTCAGCACAGCCTTTTATGCCTCCCTGGGGACAGCCTGTGCTCAGCCACAGTGACCCACCAGCCAATGCATGTGAGAGCTGCCCCATCAACAGCATTTGCTGTCTATCCAAAAGCCCAGTCTACATCCTTGTGAGATGCAGTGAGCACAACTTCCACAAGGAACCCAAGCCTCCCTTTCCCATTCTGCACACTTGCAAAGAACAGCCACAATATATTCCATTTAATTAAAATTGCCATGCTGCGATGCTTCTGCTATCTATAAACTCTCCTGTTTAATCAGTGCCTGCATCATTAACATGTCTGCAGGATAAATGCTCAGGGAACCCATCCCCAAGTACAGCGTGACTGCAGCAGTTAGCAGTGCACAGCACCAAGGCACCACGAGGTGGGAGATGGCAGAAATCACTGCACTTGCACCTTCTGCTCTGATTTGCAGTGCTCTGCTTGGAATACACCTGCCCAAAAACATTGCTCTATTTGGAATACACCTGCCCAAAACCACTGCTCTGTTTGGAATACACCTGCTCAAAAACACTGCTGTGTTTGGAATACACCTGCCCAAAACCACTGCTCTGTTTGGATCACACCTGCCCAAAGTGCTGGTGGCTCTGAGTGGTTGTAGCAGCAGCTCCCACCCACCACGGGCAGAGTCCCTGGCAAACCCTGCAACCACTGCTCAGTAATGACTCAGATGAAAAAGAGTCATCATATTAATTCAGCTCAAGAGTTTCTCTTCTTTTGAAGGCTTCCTTCCACAGATGAACCAGACCTGACCCCACTGAGCTGATGAGATCATCCCAGGTCTCTCTCTGCTTCAGCCACAGACGAGTGACCTTTCACAGCCACGTCGGACGCGTAATCAGCAATCTAAATAATTGCTCTATTTGGGAATCTTTGTTTTAGCTTTCCAAAATACGGCATTTATATCATCCAAAAATGACATTTATATGCCTGTTTAAGAGGTTCCATTTTGGCCTGAGGTCAGCAGATGTTTTCAAATGCGACTACTAGACAAATCAATATGAATAATTCAGATGCTTTACTTGACATACCAGGAATCTGTTCTCCCATCTTCTCCAGGCATTTGTTCACATGTAACCCCATGCCTTATATGAGGATTTAGTTTATATTTTGTGGATGTAGCTTATGTTTTTCACTAGCCAAAATCATAAAGATGCTTTAAAGCAAAAAACCTTTCTCCCAGAGCTCAGGCTGGTTGTTAGGCTTATTAAATAACCGAGGTATTAACCAAAGAATGCCAAGCATTTCTTTACTAGAAGTGGTGGAATGCTAGCTGTCTTTTAAAATATTTATCATATTTTTACTATTACAGTAGAAATACTACTTGGGCTGTAGGTACAAGAGAGACAGAGGTTCTAATCATTGAACTGAAATCGGTTCTAGAAGTGATCAATGCATTGTTCTGGATACACAATATTACCCAGGGCCCAGACTAAAGCAAACATTCACATGTGGGCATGTAATGCCCTTGACAAAGCCACCAAGTGGTTCCTGCAGCTCTGCAGAGCAGTGAGGCTCAGGGGCTGTGTCCTCAGTGTTTAATGACAGGACAGGTCCACAGCCTCTTCTCACGGACCATGTTTCAGGGGAAGCTCACACTGCTTTGGAGCAGCAGCTATAAAAAATAGAGTTTTGGAAATTGTTATTGAGAGACTCTCATGTCCTGCTGAGTGTATTTCGAATCCCAATCCCAATCAAACAGAAGAATTATTAAAGCTCCACCCTCTCCCTGGTGGCTTAGAAAGAGCAAATGCCCCTTCTGCCACAGGAACCTGTGCCCAGGGGAATGGCAGAGTGACCCTCCAGAGAGAAGGTCACAGCAGGCAGGGAGATGTGACTTCCTGCACCCCTACCTCCTCTTCCTCACTCTCCTCTCCCTCCTTCAGTTGCCAGCATCACAGCTATAAACATAATTTCCAATCATCTGCCTAAGCAGCAGGCACTCTGCCTTCTGAGGGATGGCAAGGCCGAAGCAGAAAACCTTAAATTATTCATTACTTCCCCTCGTTGCTGTCACAAAGGAATATTACTTCTCCATGATCTGTGTGTGCAATGCAGAAAATTTCCTCGCCAAGAAAATGTTAAACCCACCCTTTGAGGGTAATAGGAAATAATGTGCTAGTAAATAGGTGTCACACTTGACATAAGCTGCAGACACACATGGGGCATCCTCTTTGCTCTCCTTGCAGAATGAGAGCTCGTTGTGCGAGCCCAGGAATGCTGTGGGAACCAAAGTGCACTGGTTCAAAGCTTTGCAGGTGTATTCCTTCATGAGGAATGAGCCATGAGCAAAGTCAGGGTCCCCAGCTCTGGCTGGACTGGCTCCAGCCTCCTTCGCTTCCCCCCCAATCCAATACTTGGATCTGCAGCTGCTCCTTCCCAGCCACTGCCCCATGCTGTGCATCTGCTCCCCAGCCAAATGTCAGCTTGTGCTGGGGGTGTTAATAAAGACCATTTAAACTTTTAAGAACACGTTAAATAAATTTCTTAAGCAAGCCTCAAACAAAAAGTACCTGCAGAGTGTTCGTTCCCCTGCCAGGAGACCTCACTCCTAATGGATCCCCTCCCACTGTGATTTTGTTTTACACAAACCTCTGCCACAAAGGCTGAGCCCCCTCAATTTCCTTTCTGTGCTACATTCCCTTGGCAGGGGGTTTCAATGAATGTTAGGGTGGCAGAAATTGTAGTTTGTATTTAAACTGATCTACACACTTTCTGCTAAGTGCTTCTTGTATAATTTTTTGCTCTCATGACATTACACCTTCTTGCAGACTTCAGGATGGTTGGTTGCTTGCTTGCTTTGTTTTTTGTTTTTTTTCCTGCTGGCCCAATGTTCTTTTTCTTCAGTCAAATCCTGCTGTTGCTTCTCCACTTACCTGACACAACGAAACCTGTAAAAAGAACCAGTGTGCAGTGGTGGCAGGCCCAAACCAGAATGCAGAGCTGAACAAATCTGTTCACCACAGCTCCAGAGGAAGGCAGGGTTTGGTACTGAATTTTGCAGCCTTGATCCTTCCTGAGGTAGAATTTACCCCATAACACACTTGCCAGACTTTCCTCCCTCTGACTGCTGCATCAATATGGACACAGATCAGGGAATAAATTTGTTATTTAATTCCTTTGCCAGGGCAGCATGACCCATTTCTGGGGCATGTGAGGCAACTGAAACATAAAAAAAGTCTGAAATCTTTAATTCTGTTTCTCATTAGCACAGTGCAGGTCCATTCACTTCCCTCAGACAGAGAGGGGTTTCATGAGAAAATGATTCAAGCCTGTGGTGTTCCTGCTCTGCAGTGGGAAGTGGCACATGTCCGGTCTACCAGGTCATGCTGCTCTTGAAGGATGTGCTCTGCCCCATGAAAATTCCATATTTCTTTTAGGAGAGAGCCCACAGGACAATGCTGGAACCTCTCCTCTCCCAACCAAGTCATGTGGCCTCAGCATCATCTGTTTTAGATAATAGTGCAAATACATCCCAAATCCTTTCTTAACCCCAAACTTCAGCTGACAGAGGGAGGAGAATTATTGGGCATCATGACAAGTTTTATTTAATTTAGCATAAAGTGGTGGACAACAGTTTTGTTTTGCTTGTTTGCAGGGTGTGGGCCTTTTTCTAGACCGTGCTTTATTTATTTCTCCTGCCATTGTGAGTTAAGTACTGTGCAAGCAGCAAGAACAATCGGGTGGGGGCTGATTATTATAATTATTTCTACTATTAGTAATTAAAACAAATACATCAGCAAGACAATTCATGTCATTTTTCAGCATGTGCTCTCTCTTTCAGCTTTGCCAGCTGTCCTCACAGCAATTTCCATGCCAGCATCTCAGTAAAGTACCAGCATTCCCAGCAAAAAAAAGGTTCTGCTGGGATTTTAGTCTGCAAGGAAATCAGAGAAGCCTGCAACATCATGTATCCATAAAAACGGTCTAGGTGAGATTGTTGTTGTTGCTGTGCCACATTATTTATTAATCCCTGGTTTTAACAGGTTTATCCCTTATTTTCTTCATTTTATTCAAGTTCCCCTCCTTTCTTCAGTAATTAGGCAAAACAATTCCTGTGGCAAAAGGACCCTTCCTTTCTCAAATCTACTGAAATTGTGTATAGTCATAATAAGATTTAAGTCGCAGGATCATGCAGAGAAACTCCTTGGTCCAGAACTAAAAGGTCTCCCAGACCTAAGTGAGTCTTTGTGACAGCAGAGCTCACACAATGTCTGCCCCACTTAATTCCCACCTTTCCTGCAGAGCCAACCACCTCACCTGGTACTTGCAAATGAATAAATAAATAAAGGCTCTGTCAGTGCAGTGACAGGCAGCAGCAAAGGCAGGGGGGACAGGGGAAGCAGCCTCAGAAGCAGAAAGGAGAGGATGTCTTACGTGGAGAAGGCATTGTTCTGTTTCTCACATCGGATCCCCTTGCAGTTGTTGGGTTCCTCCGAGGCACTGGTCTCATAATAAAAATAAAGCTGGTTCAGTCCATTGGCAAAAGCCAGAAGCACCAGGCAGTAGATAAAAAGGAATTTGAGGATGTCTAGCAGCATGCGTCCCAGAGAAATCTGCAGGGGTCCCAGGTGTGAGTTGGCTGTAAACAGGGAGATGAGCCGCAGGGAACTCAGGATGTTGGATATTGCAAAGAGAGCTTCTGCAATCAGGGTCGGGTGCCACATCTCCCACTCCTCCCTCGGCCGGGAGCCGTTGTACTGCCAGGGAGGAAGGAAGAACAAGGGTGTAAAACCAGTGGTGTTGGGATGACTCTGAGGTAACTGCACAGGTCACACCCACTGACCCAACCCTGCCCAGGTAAATCCTACCCAGGTGCTGTGGCACTAAAAGGGTTTGTAGCCCCTTACACCTCAGCTGCTGTCAAACTCACAGCTGGGATTCAGGACTGAAGCTGGCTTGATTAGGGCAAAGATGAAGGTTTAATGACACTTTTTTTCTGCCTACTACATTATGACTCCCTGATGGTGAGAGATGTGGGACCAGGTTTTCTTTAAGAGGCTTTGGGTATGTTGGCTGTTCTTAGCCTAAACTGGAAAATTAGGATTTTTAAAAATTGGTTTTACTTCTGGGTTCACAGTCTGTGAGTTCCTTATGTCCATGGGTTCATACACCTCCTTCTCTTTCAACATTTAAAGGGGTTCAGATTTTAGCAGGTTCCAGATGTAAATTTCCAATTACTTTTTTCTTCTTCCTCCTGAACATGACTGCTCATTCTAAACTCTGCACATTCCAGGAACAATGGGAGGGAGGGTGAAGGAAGGGAAGAAGAAAAGCAGTGAACTATTGGATGCTTTCCTTCCCATGTAATCTCAAAACAAGAGCCAGAACCAAAAGGCTTTTTTCGTATTAATTTTCTTATTAGTTAATTTGTCATGGCAATTTTAGGAGAGTTGCTAAAGCAGAGGTCTTAATTACAGCTGAAACACTGGGTACAGTTGAGTGCATCAATTACAACATTAACTGGGTTTGTAATGTAGCTGTAAAAGCCGAAGCATTTTCGGAGCAAAGTGCGGCCAGATGCGAGCAGGTAGCACAAAAGAGCTGGTTCTGTAAAATGTAACTGCTCTGCTTCTGTGAAATGTAAAATGTAACTGCTCTGGCTTAACGACACTGGCACAGAGAATGGAGTCAAAGACGTTTAACATCAAGGAATAATTGTCCTTTTAACATTTGTCTCTGCTCATTTAGCATGCGTAAAAAGGTAGAACTGCGCTCAGAATAACCCAGCTAAAACCATAACCAGCGTGTTTAGGGCTCCTAAAATAATTCTGGTACCTTTGGAAAGAAAATGGTACCAATATCACATTGACAGACAAGATTGCAGAGACTTTCTATTTAAATCTGAAGGTCCAATACACAAGCTCCCAATTTTTTCAAGGGCTCAGCAAAAAGCAGGTTGATATTTCAAACCATCCCCCTGTATGAAGGAGATGAGACATGATACAAAGGCATTTCAGCATGACCTCTGATTGCTTCTGACATTTCCAAACTGTTCTTTATTACATGAACATCATGGCCTGAGCCTGTTAACTTGATTTGAAGATGGGTCTTAAAAAGCCTACAAACAGGCAGAGAAGTGAACTTTTTGTGGATATCCAGCAATGGGGGTGGTTGAGTGGGATTGGGAAGCCTGGACAGCAGATTTGCACAGTTACTCCCAATTCTCTTCTGCAGGCTGGCTGGACACAGCAGCCTAGGGCTCTCTGCTAAGGTTTAGAACAGATTGCACATAAAGGTATGGGGAAAATACCATCTTTAAAGGTATTAATATTTTTAAAGGTATTTAATATTTTTAAAATATTGCTTTAAAAAGAGGTGTGGGACACTCTTCTGTGTCTCCCAGCTCTTTTTGAAGCAATATTTAGGTCATTAAGGTCATATTTAGGTCCTTTATGAACTGATGGTATCTCCTTGCTTGGCAAAGAGAATCTTCAGAGCAGCCTGGCATCACAGGTAACAGAAAACAGCAGATTTCAGAGTTATCTAATGAAGCTGCTGATCTGGGAAGGCTGGAGTTGTTTGGTTTGGGGTCTGTTCAAAAGATGAAACACAGCAGAGATGTACACAGAATAGTACAAATAAATTACACCGTGCTGTCACATTTACCCTTCCTCATTACACAATAATTCAATGTAGCAAATGAAAACTGATTAAGAAAGTATTTCTACCCTATAATTAGCCTGAAGATTCCATTGGTATCAGACAATATTAGAGCCAGGTCTTGGAACCAGTCAAATCAAGGAAAAAAAAAAATGTCTTCACATAAAAACAAGGATGGAAAGCATTTAGTGTCAGTATGCAATTTATTTTTTCTGATATTTGGCAGAAAGTTAAATGTCCGTGTAATCCTTTGAAGTTCTAAGAAGTGTTAGAATATGGTCTATTGGCATATATCCCAGCCTCTTGCAGCTCAGGGCTGTTCTATAAATAACAAATAATGTTGCAAAATGTTTTGAAGCCATTATCAACGCTATAAACCCTCACGCTGCGGAGCAGAGGCAACCTCAGTGACCACATGTTTCAGAAGATTTTCTGCACCTCTCAGAATTGTCTGACACTGGCCCTCATCAGGAGCTGGGCTGAGCTGGGCCAGGTTTAACCCCAGAGGGTTTGATCTGGGCTCAAACACATTTATTCCTGCCAGCCCTCCTTTGTGTGCTGGCCCATGGGGTTTTGTGGCTGACCTGCACGTTTCTGTGGCTCGTACAGGGAACACAAACAGAGCTGCACCTCCTCTGTACCTGTGCTTTGGCTGCGAGTTTAAATCCCCGTGTGTGACTGCACAAACCCATGGATGCACAGCTCCACAGTAATTTGTGTGAGGAAGAACCAGATTGGTAATATTTTAAGTTTTGTCCATATATTTTACCATTTCTAGCTTTTTTTTTTTTTTTTTTTTTTTTTGTATTGCTTGTGGTTTAAAGACCAACCTTTCAAGTCTGTAATTTCCTCCCTGGTTCTGAATGTTGGGAGAATAAAAGACATAATCTGTTCCTGCTTTGATGCTGTTACAGAGCTGCCTCTTCAGGGAACAGCAACCAGCTTAAAAGCGTTTTCCCTTTGAAAATCTGACTCACCACGACTGCAGCCTTCAGGATTTAACAAAGGCCCCATAGCAGGGCTGTTTGCATTTTGGAGTCAATGGCTTGGTGCAGTTTTCTCCTCTCTCCCACTCTGCCTGCTGGGCAGGACTAAACAAGGCTGCTCTGGGGAAGTGCTTGTCCTGGTTTTTGGGAGCTGGGCTGCCAGAAGTGGAGACCTTGGAAGAGCAGGTGTGGCCAGGGAGCAGATCCCAGTCACTTGATTTACACCTGAGTAATTTCACTGACTGCAGGGAAGCTGCTGCTGATTCATACCAAGGGAAGAAGTAGGCCAAGCACGAAGCTCCAGCTGAAGCCAAAGAGAGCTGTTGCATAAGGAATTTTACTTTTGTGTCTTGTCTTTGAAAAAGGGAGACAGAAGGAAAGTGCTTCGGGCCATCCCCTGACTTCAAACCCTGTGCATATGCTAATTTGGAGCATCAGAAGTTTATAAATGTGGAAGGTGCTTTTGAGGATGAGCTCTGATGTGGGCTCTCACCACAAATGGAACATGACAGGGAAGAACCTACAGGGTGTTAAAGCCCCAGCTTGCTTCTTTGTCATTTCCCTGCCCAGAGGTTACATGGCACAGAGTCAGTTGACCCCTGTATATCAGATTATCAGAGAGAAGCCTCCTAATAGCAGTCTTGCTCTTCTCAGTAGACCTGTCACAAACTTTTGGTTACTAGCCTCCAGATCTGTAGGGCTACACATTATAAAGCTTGGCTCTAGAAGTTTTCAGGTAACCCTGTTCTTGTTTTCCCTTCACCATTTTATTTAAGAGCTGTTTTCGCTGTGCATTGTTGAAGGAGGTCCAGTGCCAACACAGAAAACAAAGTGCTTTGGCAACTGAGTAGCTACAAAAGGCACAGAAAGTGGAGAAATTTCTCCCCAGTGCCCAAACAATCTATTGCACTTTTAATCAAAGAGTCAGAATGAGCAGGCTGTTCATTCTCCAAACAAAACAGCTTTCCAGGTGAATTTCCAAAACTGGACTGCTTGAAAAGCTGTTATTTTCTCTGCTTTGTGATTTTGATTTGAACAGTTTGTACCCTGTGTACTACAGCTCTCACCAGCACATTACAAATTCCCTCTCCCAAGTTACTGTACCTTGACATAGGCAACAATTTTAAGGGAGATGGTTGCAAGATAGAGGGAGTTCATTGCAAAATCCATCAGATTCCACCAGTCATGTACGTACTCATTGAATCCACCATCCCACATTTCCTTGATTTCTCCCCAGATGAAACCTGTAGAAAGAAAGGGAGTTCATTGCCATGACAAGGCATTATTTGCCATTAAAACCCTGTGTATATACCTATGATGTAATACCAGACAATTTGAAATTAACAGCTTGGAAAAAACGCCTCATCCCTCCTGCCTTCTACAAAGTACAATGCTGCTGATTATGAGACATTTTACAAGTCTGTGGGGAATGCAGTCTGGAGAGAGCTGAAAAAGACCTTGCTTTCCTACCCAGGGCTCCAGATATGCACATGAGGAGACTGCCTGAAACACATGTTATTTATAACCAGGATGAGTGAATTGGCTCAGCTGAAATTTGTTCTACGTGAATAAACTCTTCAAGCAGCTGTATTTGGTATAGTTTCTGATAGATTGTCTGCTCTCACAGACACTCTGAGCAATTCATTGCTCTGTTGGACAGCACTGATTTTCCCTGACTTTCTCTAGCAGCAGAAGAACCAGCTTCTGCATGCCAGCACAGGAAATATCACCCCAAAGAAGGAAGAAGCAGATCCATCCTCTGCTCAGTCACTCTATTGATGCCTCTTGCTGTAGAAAAAGCCCACAGGAATTATTTGTGAGGAAAGGTAAGACTCAGCAGGAAGCAGGGCACTGCAGCCTGGCAGTGACTCACCTCATGTCAGATATGGCTGTGGGGTTTGTGAGCTGTTTGTTCCCAAGGATACGGCCAGAGCCCCTCATGTCAACCCTGAAATGCCTTCTGGTGATTTTTGGCACTTGCTAATGCTCACTATACCTCCTTGCAGCTGAAAGGGTGAAGGTCAGCTTCTGAAATTCATCACCAGACTGCTAAACCCGCCTGACACAGTTCTGATTATAAGTAACTTCTGTGTCCTTTCTTGTAGAACTGTTTAAGTATTTCTGAAAGCCTATGTCACATCAAAAAACAAATGGCAGCCCCTTCGTGCCCTGAATGCTTCTGAAACATGTCTTTGGAGCCCCAGGTATTTTGAATTACCCATTTGACATTATATTTGAATGAAAACCAGAAATGTGTGAAGAGGAAGCAAAACAAAACAAAGTTCACCTCCAGGTGCATTACCAATATAGTTACCCAAACTGCTGCCCCTGCCTAACCACAGGATATTGTGACAGGATATTGAGTTCCTTTGTTTCAGATAAATAGAGATATTGTATGACTGTTTATTAAATAGAGAAATTAGAACAGTTTCACCAGATTAAAGGTTATTGCTTACAAAATATTTTCCACTATAGAAGGAGAGAGAGCACAAACACATTGACAGCGGTCACTGATGTGCTGCTTGCAACTCAACTTTAAGCCATTCAATCTGAAGAGCAGCAAAGTTGCAATGAACTGCTGCACGCCCCCAAATATCAATCTGAGCTGCTCAGCTGCCAGCCAGCAGGTCAATGGCCACACAAGCAAAATGTCAGGGCCAGCCAGGTAATCCTATTACAGCTGCCTCCAGGTCTTTGCATGCACGCAAACCCATAAAATAAAATAAATCAATGGAGAGGCGCCTGTTGAAGAACTCATACACTGTATTTATAGTGAGTTATCGTTGCTGGTTACTATAGCTACAGCAATGCTGTGTGTGCCTGCTCTCTCTCCTTCTATAGTGGAAAATATTTTGTAAGTAATAGCCTTTAATCTGGTGAAACTGTTCTAATTTCTCTATTTAATAAACAGTCATACAATATCTCCATTTATCTGAAACAAAGGAACTCAAGAACAGACAGCTGTAAGAAAGGTTTTTTGATAGGATTGTGCTTTCGCAAGGTTTTTTAAAATAGATTATCCTTCTTTCATCTGCAAATCAATTTTACTGAAATGCTACCATTTCCTTCAATTTTAACCATGAATTTAAAGATAAAGTGAAGATATGACCTAAGCTCAGAAAAGACATTTAACCCCCTGAGCTTACTCTGAAGTTTCTACCAACACCTGCATTTCAGTGCATAAATCAGCTTCATCAGATAATGAAGCTGGTGGTGGAGCTGTGCAAGGAGCACAGTGCCCTGGGTCACCATTCAAAGTGATTTGTGAACATGTTTGCAGCTCTTACTTTCCTTCCCCATTTTCCATCAGCAGTTTTGGGCCTGGCACAGGAGCAGCTGGGTTTGTTCAGCACAGAGCCAGCCTGACCACAGAAACAAGGAGCAGTGTCCTGGTGTCACCAGGACAGGGGAGCCAGCAGCTGTGGGAAAGCAGGAGAGCCAGAAAGGTGTGGGAAAGCAGGAGAAAGGTGTGGAAAGCACTGCCCATGAGCAAAGTGCCTGGTGACATCCCCAGCTCCCAGGGGTGCCACATGCTGGTGACACAGGAAGGGACATGGGAGTGAACCAGAGGAGGGATCAGGATCCTGATGGAGCTCACAGGTTCCCACTGCTGCTGTGCTGGAGCTCACTTTGGAAGGTAAATAGTCCTCCCTCATCAAAAACACACCCAGCTGGCTTCTCTGTTCTTCTCCCACCTCATCCCATCACATTGCCTCACCTGAACACCCCTCAGCACACAGACACCTCCTCCTCTCCCAGCTCTGCCCAAGCCAGACTGCAATAATGGCCTCACATGTAACTTCCAGACAATCATCACTCCTCCTTCTGCTGATATCAGAGCATTGATGCTGATGTGCTCAGTGATTATCAGCAGAGAGTGAGGCTTATCTTCCCTCTCCTGCATTCCCGCAGCTGATCTGGGAGGAATAAGCCAGGCTGGTCCTTGTGCTGCCTCCAGGAGCAGGGTGTGGGATTTATGGAATGTTCCTAGAGCCCAGGGCAGGATCAGGTGTGGGATTTATGGAATGTTCCTAGAGCCCAGGGCAGGATCAGGTGTGGGATTTATGGAATGTTCCTAGAGCCCAGGGCAGGATTGGGTGTGGGATTTATGGGATTTACCTAGAGCCCAGGGCAGGATTGGGTGTGGGATTTATGGAATGTTCCTAGAACCCAGGACAGGATTGGGTGTGGGATTTATGGAATGTTCCTAGAGCCCAGGGCAGGATCAGGTGTGGGATTTATGGGATTTACCTAGAGCCCAGGGCAGGATTGGGTGTGAGATTTATGGGATGTTCCTAGAACCCAGGGCAGGATCAGGTGTGGGATTTACGGGATTTACCTAGAGCCCAGGGCAGGATTGGGTGTGGGATTTACAGGATCAGGTGTGGGATTTACCCAGAACCCAGGGTGTGGGATTTACAGGATCAGGTGTGGGATTTACCCAGAACCCAGGGCAGGATCATCCACTCCACGATGGTGGGAGGTGGCCCCTGCATGTGGAGGTCGGTCCTGACGATGTGCTGCGACGCCAGCAGGAGCATGAACAGGAAGGTCAGGTAGGAGCCAGTGTGGCAGATAAACTTGATAAATGGCTTTTTAATGAACAGTCCCAGCCTGCTCTTGGGTGCAATCAGGTACGCCACGGATAGCACGGGGAACAGCAGTCCGATGGTGACACAGGTCAGGAGTTTCACTGCCCAGTGTTTCCTCCTCCACCCTGGAAAGCCGTCGTACCAAAGCGTTGCTAGTAGCTGCTGGCAGTTCGGCTGAGCAACAAACTGGGGAGAAAGAAACAAAGAAAAACTATTAAATTATTGCTGACTGGTACTCCACGTGCACTCCCCCTCACTTATGTGTTAGAGCCCACGCAGACCCTCAGATTACTTTTGGGGCCAGCTATGGGCTGGAAAAGTATATTTTAGAGATAAAGGGAAAAAAGGAGGGAAGTTTCACTCTTTCTATGTAGGATTTAAGATTCCTTCTCTTGGGAGAAATTTTGTTCTACTTGCAGCATCCTTCTGCAGATCAGCCACTCACCACACACGCAGCCTCGTGCAAAAACAACCACGAGAATTACTACAAGCTGTTTCTCTCCCCATGTGTTGGAGCACGTTCCTTTTCAGAATGTTTCAGGTTTCGACCGCCTTGAACAAGTCACTGTCAGCATCTTAAAGAAGTGACTAAAGGATGAGGCAGGAGGGAAAAGGTGCAAAGCTCTGAGAGTGTGTGTGAGAGGGAGAATGTCTCCCAGAGTGTGTGGAGTGCTGCAATGTGTGTGTGTGGGCTGGGCTGGCATGAGACAGCCAACAGCAGCGTGAGGTGTGGCCAGGTGACATCTGGTGGGAAGCAGGACTGCACATTTGGAACCCTGCCTGGCTGTTCAGCAAGAGAGCAGCTGTAAAATGCAAGGGATTAAGCAGAGGCCAAAAGGAATCTAAGTGACATTTGACAGTTCACTTTCAATGCTGTAAAAAACAGCATTGTGATGGTGATTTAGTGCATCTCCCCCACACCACACCACACATGCTCAGGGTGCAGGTCCTTCAGGGTGCTCTCATCCCAAACAAGCCAAGCCATGATATTTCTATTCAGTGCTAGACTTCATGTTCATCATTTTCCCTGGACAGCACCATGGTTATCAATGCTTTCCACACCCAGAACTAACCAGAGATGTCTGCAAGACCAAGACAACTCTGTTTTTCTTCAAAAATCTTTAGCCCACGCCCAAATCTCTTAAATACACCTCAAAAACTGCCCAGTGTTGGGAGGACTTCTAAGCACAGTTCTCAGAGTGCTCTAAACAAGCAGAGCACTGTCATTGCCATGTTAAAAATGACTAAACCAAGGTCAAACAAAAGGACAAATTAGTTGCTTGTTCTGACAAAGTAATTCACTTCTGTAAGTATTTTTAGATTTTGGTAATATATTTTATGTGTCTTAACAGGCTGTTTACATCAGAATCAGACCATTTTTGGACTGTCTAGTTCAAATCTATGGAATGACCCACACTAGCACTGAAAATAAGATCTCCAAGGGAACTATCTGGCATTTATGAAGCTGGATTTTGATGTGTTATTACAACAATAAGCTTCTGATGACTCCTGCATTGGCACATAACTGAAGACACTCTTGGGAAAATAATATCAGGAGAGTGTGTGATTTGGGATCAACCAGCACATGCAGCAGCTGAAAATGGGCCGTAGCTCATGGGGTGATGGTCTCCAGAAAAAGCCAAGACGTGTTGCTTGTAGTGATGAGAAAATATTATTGTAAAATTCCATATATGGGGAGAATGATCATGGAGTCACAGAATCCCAGAATGATTTGGGTTGGGAGGGACCTTAAAGTTCATCTTATTTCCACCCCTGCTGTGGGCAGGGACACCTTCCACTATCTCAGGCTGCTCCAAGCCCCTCCAACTTGGCCTTGGACACTTCCAGGGATCCAGGGGCAGCCACAGCTGCTCTGGGCAGGTAAGAGAAACAATTCCAGAGCAACTGGAAAACCGGCAGGCAGCGATTGGTGTTTGTCTGTGTTTTAACTCTGATTTCAGAAGGGTCAGCGCTTTGTGTTTAAAAACACAAAGAAAGTTACACTGCTCTGTTTTCTCAAGATCCCGCTCAGGAGCTGTTACTGGATGTGTTCTGCAGTGACTCACAGGGCAGGAGATGCTGCAGCTTCTCTGAGATGAGGCACAACTTCTTCTTTTTTTTAATTTTTTTTTTTTGAGGGAGAAAATGTTATAAACACATTTTCTCTTTATCACATATGATAGAAGGCTCTGAGGGGAGAATAAAACTGTTTTTCCCTTGAGTCAAAGTCAAAGTCATTTGAGAAATCAAATGACTGTATGTTCCTCTGGTTGCTGTGCAACTTGCAAGCATCTTAAAAGTGCCTCTTCTCTGCCTAATAGCTCATTTCTAAAATCTGCTTTCTCAGTTGTATCTGATGTTAGTTCTTCAAATGGAGACAAATTCACACATCATGAAAGAGCAGCTTTAAAGAGCAGATTGGCAAAAGGGAATGGAAATGGAAAAAGCCATTAAATTTTCCAATCAAGCTGGTCCCAACCTCAATGAAAATTGCCCAAGGAAAATTTAAGCACCACACAAAGAGACTCCCTAATGTCATAAACCATCAAATGCTGTGTTTATTAAAGGTAAGGCCAAGCACTTACCAAAGCTGACTTTTACTAACTTGTATTAGTCCAACTTATTAATCACAGATTTAAAATCACTAAGCACTGGTGCTTTATCTCCAGTAGTGCAGTTGGCTGAGAAACAAAATTTCCAGTGCACAGAAACATTGGAATTCTGAATTATAATGAAGAAGCAAACCAAGCCACTGGTGTGCTGCCTCAAGAATTTACTGGGTTTTGGTGAGTTTGCTTCTAGGTGCTGTTAACTAAACTAAACCCACAAATTCATTGACTAGTGTAAACCACTGAATGCTCAACTTATTAAAGATTGTCTAGGAGTCATAGTGCTAAATCAATGCACACAAAATACAAAAATATATTCTTTCAGGTGTGAAGTACCCTGAAACTCTGATAATATTGTGGAACTTTTGTAATCCTCCATAATTTGAAATTTCTCCATAAAGTTAAGGAAATTTCTACTTTGCAAATAGCAGAGCAGAGAACTAGAAAAGCAACTTGACATCTTCAGCACTACTTTTACCAAGGCTTTTCCTGAGTGAAAGTTAATTTTCCACGTAAGTAACCCCAAATGTGTTTTTTCACATTTTTGCAAAGCCTTTCATGTGCCACAGCCTGAAATAGTGCCTGTGTATATCAGAGCCTTTTATCATTTCACATGAATGTACTGTGTGTGACAGGATTTGGCACCAGTTAAAGTTTCTGCACAACAAAAAGCAGGAGAAAAACCTTCATTTTGTCCCAGTTTTGTGTATGGGTCAGAGTCACAGGCAGATGCACTGCACCAGAAGCTCTGGTAAGAGAATATATGACTGTCAAACACTATTTCTCCAACACCTGACAAGCATTTTATCCAAGGACTGCTGCATTACAGGAGCCTCCAGTCTCTACCACAAACAGCAGCACAAGACATCACCTCACAGAGAGGGTGGAGAATGTTCTGACAGCTGCAACAGTGAAAAGAAATGTCACCAAGAGGTGGCATTTATGCTCAGTTCAGTGCATGCAGGAACTGAACCTCTGATGCTGTGTAGGGTTTGGCTGGGGTAGAGTTAATTTCCCTCCCAGCAGCTGGGTTTGGCTCTGTGCTGGAAACAGGGCTGATACCCCAGGGATGTCTGAGTTATCCCTGAGCAGGGATTGCACACAGCCAGGGCCTGTCCTGCTCCTCACCCTCACCAGGGAGGAGCTGGGGGGACACAGCCAGGACAGCTGATCCCAGCTGACCCCAGGGGTACCCCAGACCTTGTGGCATCACCCTCAGTGCACACAGCTGGGGGACAAGGAGGAAGGGGGGTAGTTTGTCTCCTCAAGTCACTCCTGAGCTCCTGCCTGCCCATGGACACGGTGAATGAATTCCTGGTTGTGCTCTGCCTGCACACATGGCTTCTGCTGCACCTGTTTCAAGCTGTCTTTATCCCAGCCCACAGCTTTTCTCACTTCTCTCTTCCAGTTCTCTCCCTCATCCCACCGGCAGGAGTGGGCGAGTGGCTCCTGGGGCTGAGCTGCTGCCTGGGGTTAACTCACCACAGAGGCACCAAAGCCTGTGGTTGTACAAAACACTGTCCAGGGCGGTCCCCACCTGCAGATGCATTTCCAGAGGAGCCAATCCCAAAAACAATCTCCTTGTCCATTACCTGTTGAGCAGAACCTGTCCCTAGGTGAATACAGAGATCACAGGGAGATAAAATGCAACTCAGAGTCCCTCCTTGTGAGCACAACACCTCTGAGATACCCATGAACAAGGTGCTCAGTCTCCTGGCTTTTGAAAATGGGGATAATATCTTTTCCTTTCCAAGAAATGAGATCAGCAACTCCAGTCTTAGTTGGGAAGCACTCTAGAGATTACTGCAGTACAAAGTCTTTTATATTCTCTTCTTCTCTCAGCCTTGCCAGGGTCTTTGTGTAACATTTGGCTTGCAGGTGGATTGTGCTATTAGAGAATTTCATTTTCAATGTTCATCACACTCATTGCCACCTAATCCTATACCAAGGGGGATATTTTTAAGGGAAAAAAAGTAACTGCTGGATGGAGTGTCTTTTCCTTAATAACTAATCTTTACTGATATTTTAAGTCACCTAAATTCCACTTCTCGGGAATTAAATGTTTCCTGAATGCTGTCAAACACAGAAATTATTTTCCACCCCCCCTCCCCTCATCTATGGGGAAATCCCCGATCTCTCACAGTCATAAGTAATTTAGGATCAGACACAGATGGGTTGAGATGTGAATGCCTCAGGGAGCAACTGAAATAGCTCCCTGATAGACATCACAGGGGCTGAGCACAGCATCCCTCTGCCTTTATTCTGATTATCATGACTGCTGCCAACAGCCTCTTGTTTGGAGTTTGCTGGAGTTCTCGTCTGTGCTCCTGCTGCGGATGGCGAGGGCGAATCCTCTTCATAGATGAATAACCACTAATTTGGAACTGCAGAGCTCTGTCTTAATAAGCAGGACTGAGTTCTTCTATCAGCCAGCTCCAGCAGCTCCCACAGAGGTCACCAGTGAGAGCCAAACACGGCATGGGAGCCATGAAATGACCTTTGGCTCCTGCCTGACACTCCTTTCAAAGGTCAGGCCTCACCCACATCACTGTAGCCCAGAGCATCTCAAACCTGCAG